TTAATGTTATAAATAAATATACAAATAAAAATAAACACACGTAAATAAAGCAATGATTAAGAGGCGCTCAGATGGCGACTCGGGTGAAGTTGTCGCTCCACGCTAAGGTTCGGGATCCTAAATTTTAAACTATTTCCTTAACTGATAATCAATGTTATCAATCAATAGTATATTAATGATGAAAAAGAACAAGTACAGCGGCCATTTTTCTATGTGGTGATGAAGTAATTTTGAACCACAGATACTTTACGTTCACAATAAAAGCAGCTTGATTTTGCTAGCGACACGGCTACAGAAATGCCATCCTGGTACACAAGAGCTGGTTTTCTACACAAAAATGTTGCACAATTTTCTTAACTAATCATCAGCCCCATCATTATTCAAACCCTGAGCAATCACTAAAGCAAGTGTAGCACTTTCACATACTGTTAAAGTCATTTTTAACCACCAGAGTTTAAAATTTACCGCATAATCAACCCAGCTACTTAGCTTAGCTTAGCAATTTGGCGACACAAACACTGTCTCTGTAGACTGCACCCCGTTTTCAATGAGTGAGCTCTGACCAGAAGTCATTAACTGCTACAGAAGACTTTGTCGTGGTGCCCCTTGCGAGTGAATGCTTTCTGCTTGCTTACACGTAAGTACCTGTAGTTCGATCGACCACCTCCTCAGGTCAATATGGTATCGAATAGTAAGCTGCTCCACCTGGTGGAACAACCAGGTAATACAGCATGTCTACGGTACATTTTCTGACATACATGTCCTTTGTTGTCTAACTTATTATTTGATATAGTTTGAATCAATTAAATTATCTGTGATTAACAACAAATATCCCCAGTGGGGATACGAGGTCATGGGTGTTTTTAGACCACAAATCTTTTTTCGTAAGGGCAACTACTCCCCAACCAGGGGAGGTTTAGGGGACCAGACAGCAGCGGACTAACAAACCTCTGAAGACCTGCATAAACTCCACAAGGACAGCACAGGACAGTGAATAGTTTCCATGATCAAAGGATATGATAGGCTGTTTTTGGGCTTTGTTTATGCAACCGAACTTTACCTTTTGTGCTTACATGGCGGTTTTCATCTGATGCATTTAAGCAAAATCATCAAACTCTATCCTAACAAGCTATTTTCTAGCTGCTATTGATGGCATGCCTCTTACTTTTGCAGATTTTTATTCAGGTTTGCTCAGTAGCTGGCTAAAGGGCACTTTCAGTCGGATTAAACAGATCATTAATCCACAAAATCCTACAATAATTAATAGATTTGTGACTGATCTGTCAGTCAACAGAAACAACCCCTTCAAGGGACTATAATGCAGCAAAGAAATAGTGCGAAAGAGGCTGCGTTTACCACCAAAACACTGCTCTCCCTGCACTGCAGTCAGCTTACTGTCAAATTTCTTTCAAAAAAACAAGAACGCCGCGAGGAAAAAAACACCACATCTAGCCTGGAAATTAAAAATCCCAAAACACGAGCGGTAAGCAATTTTCAGCTGGGGGGGGAGGTGAACCAGTTCGGCTCAATCTGATGCTGTTTCATTGTGGTGGAGCACAAAAGGCCCAGGTGATGCTCTGTAATGCAGCACACTGTAAGCAAAAGCCAGCAGATTGCATTTGGGCCCAGCCTGATATTGTGGCCCATCACAGAGCGAGGATTAGCGCTCTTTTATCAGCTAACTGCATGGCTGGAGCTTTGTTAAACTCGCAGTCCTCTCCATTTCTGTGTTGTCATCTTTTTGCAGTGGAAGCAAACGCTGCAGGGTTTCTGTGTAAAAGCTTTCAGCTGGGAGGCTGGTAAAAGAGATGTTGGGAGAGCGTGCATTTCAGCAGCAGGACAAAAGAAAACCCGGCTTTCACGAGAGGGAGATATTTCCCCTGTCGATTCAAATAATGCGTCACTTATAAAGCTTCAGCGGCCAAGCATGAGCCAGGACAACACATCTGTAGGTTCATTATTAAAGCACAAATATAGTATAGACATACACGCTGGGGGGGGTTGTGACTTCAGGGTTGAACTAAAATTCCAAACATTTTAATTTATGTCCAGAAAAAGGGGCAAATAAACAATACAGAGGCTGAAATTTCAGGAGTTATGCAGAGTTTGGGATGTTTAGGGACACGCAATAAATCTCTGCAGTCTCTTTGCACCCTTTTATGCAAATGGAAAAGGCAGAACCAAAAAAAAAAGGGGGGAGTCCTTATCTCGCACAGACCGGCAGAACGCCTCGGATCAAAGCTCTGCCTCCTCACACAGGAGACGAGGACAATGGCGGAGAAAGAGGCGTCACCGGCTCAGCCAAACTCCATCATCTGCTGCCGCGAGACCGGCGAAACAGGACGGCTGCAGGGACAGAGGTGACACTCGGGGATTTTGAGGAGGAACGTTACGACCTCGCTGCACCTCCAGGAGGAACGACTCGACGTCACCGAACAAGGTAAAGACGAGCTTAAAGTTTTTGTACCTATATAAGAAATGTTACCTACATTTACACAGCGGCTAAATCGTGACCTAGAACAGAAACTGCACAGTCAGAAGGTATTTTAAATTACGCCATCAAGGTAAAGGAGAGAGTCTCATTTTGGCCTGCAGGTAATGACTAATCATACTGGCTAATAATCAGTTTCATCCAGTTTAAATTAGCTTGTTTAATATATGAAATATACATAAATTTGAATGTTTCTGAATCCCACAGTACAGCCAGTAATGATTAGAATAAAGACGACACACATCAAGACCGGAGACTAACGATTATTCTCACTGGCGATTAATTGATTAGCTGTTTGGTCTATTACAGCTGCGACAATTAATCGATTAGCTGTCAATTAATGAATTATTAGGCAGCTACTTTGACGATTGATTTAGTCATTTGGATTGTGGACAAAACAAGACATTTGAGGACATCATGCTGGGCTTCATAGGAAACCATTTATTGATATTTAAAGGTCGGACAAATAATTGACTAATCGAGGAACTAATCAACAAATAATCGATAGATTATCTCTAAAATGTTAGAAAATCCGTGTTAGATATTCAGTTTATTGTCACACAAACCAGGAAATACTAAACTTTTTAATCGAATATCAAAATAGTTGTTAATTAATGTCACAGTTGGCAACTAATCAGTTAATCGTTGCTAATAAAGACACAAATATTGATTTTTTTAAAAAGCTCTTTGACCTGATAAATTATTTAAATATTGATTACACTTTACAGTTGTTTGACGCACTGACTTAGGAAAAGTTTAAGCAATGATCAGATTAAAATATCAGACATGACTATTTCAGAATCATTGCTAATTTAACCGCATCTTACTGGTCGTGTTATAGGTTCTTATTCTTCATATTAGAGCACACTGTCGGTTTTTTCTTCCATGTTGTTTGTTCCAGTGATACGTCGTGGTATTTAATTCATTCATTTGACGATTAATAAATTGCTAAAGTCATACGTTACTGCTGTTCTTACTTTTACAAGCAAACTGCAAACAGGAAGTCAGGAAATCAGGGATGGAAGGTTGGTTTAAGAAACGCAACTAACTAATTTTATAGTCAATTAATATTTTAATGATCTTTTCAATTAATCGATTGGTTAGCTGGTATGCAGTCTGTCAGAAAACCAAAAGATATTCAGTTTATTGTCATACACGAGGAAAGAATATCTGAGAATTTCCCACTTAAACTGATTAACTGATTATCAAAACAGTTAACGGGTGATTTATAAGTAAACTACTAATCGACTGATTGTTGCAGCCACATTAGTGATGGTTTAGAAACAGTGTCACAGTAACCTAGTTTGGCACAGTTGGCTTCAGGGCTGCAATAAACCATTATTTTGTTTGTTGATTATTTCCTCAATTGGTTGATTAGCTGTTTGGTTGATCAAATGTAAAAGAAAATGTGAAAAACCTTATTTTACTTATTTTGTTCACAATCCAACGACACTCAGTTTACTTTCAAAGAGGAATAAAGAAACCATAAAACACTCAAACTAAAGAGGCTGGAATCAGAATATATTGTCCTTTTTTTCCCCTATTAAAATGAACTGAAAGCCAGCTTGACCTTTAAATTCCACATTTTGCAACTGATCAAACACGAGTTTCCCCAGAGCTGCTCTACATGAATGCTAATGCACTCAGGTTGGTCTCATCTCTATGCAATACAGGAAAAGTAGGTCAAGCTTTTACTTCATTCCAGTGTCTCTCAAATTGACATTAAAGCACAAAAAAGCAGAAAAAAACCCATCTTTATAGTATAAATTAAAAATGTCTGCAGCTTTAAGTGCATCATGAAAATACTAAATCTGTAATATGGTGCCATCTAGTGTGTTTGAGACCTTGTGGACACTGACATCCTACTATATCAATGACTAGAATGGTGCTATTTCAGATATTTATTTAATATAAAAAGCAACTGAGCTGTTTGTTTAAATTAAGCTGGGAAAAAATATATTTCTATCCTGTTATTTGAGGTGACACTCAAAATAAATCACAGCATGGGTGTGGCTGCAGCCTGACATGACTCTCTCCAGACAGATTAACCAAATTGGATGGGAAATGAACAAAAAAAAAAAAAAACAATGTGGAATTGGAGATTAATTCATTTAAGCGAGCATAAAGCTTAATTATCCCATTAGGATGTGGATATCCAGAATCCACACCGCCTCTACAGTCACCAACCAAAGCTCATTAAATATTTGCAACGGCCTTGTCTTCGCAGTTAGCCACTATAATGTGAAAATATTGTATTTTAACAGCTGTAACTGGTATTAAAAGCCTGTTGTTTTGGACGCTGCTGTTTGCTGCTGTCAGCTGTCAGTGAGACCCTCCCTGAGCAGCTGCTAGCCACACTAGCCGTTAGCCTCCATCTCACTCAAAACAAAAATCGTAATTTCGACTTAATTTTAACAAAAAACGTATTTATTTATTTTAAGACAGACGTGTCAAGCTGTTTTAAATCCAAACGCCACCGTCCAGATGAGAAACAGGCGCTCAATCTTACCTGTTTGTGTCAAAAAATCCCGCTAACCGCTCAGCTTCGTCCCTGTCAAGCTACATCCATCCATGGAGGTCTGACCGGACGCATCGGCGCTGAGGTGGCCGAGCTGCTGCCTGACTCGGCCCGCCTGACGGACCGAGGAGCCCGGGGAGACACTGGGGAAATCACCCGCTGACAAGGTTTTAACACAGGTGGATAATATCTTGGAAATCAAAAATAGTAATAATTAAAAAAGCGTGTGTGTCACATTTGTGTGTTTGTTTGTTTGTTCTTATTTTTTTTTGCAATATTATTTTAAAGGGCAATTCCTCCTTGTTTTGCTGAATATCTTTGTTCTTCCATGTGAGTTACTTTATATACTTTATATTTTTAATTATTAGTGTAGTTAATTTAATCTTTATGTTAAAAAAAAAAATCTGAAAAATCTAGAAAGGCAGCAGGAAAAATCAGCAAAGGAAATGCACAAAGTGAAATAAAAAATATAAATAATAATAATAATGACCTACTTTACTTTTAAAAACAAAGTCCTTTGACAAATAATGCAAATGCACGAAACCCAGAAGGCAACAAAACACCAGTTAAGATACGGTTAAAACAAAAATTCTACAGATGAATATTAATAAATAAAAATAAAATGGCTAACGCAATAAAGACCAAGTAACATTTTAAACAACAACTACTCAACAGAAGTGTTTTTCCCAATAAAGAAATAAAATCAATGCTGTAAATCTACCTAATGAATTTAAATATAAAGGTGAATACCTTGCAGTGTTATAGAAAGCATAAGTTCACCTCACTGGTTTAAATATTAAAGTAAAATATTCACTAAAACTACTCCTGAGGAAAATTTAAACAAACACATAAAAAAAAAACTTTAAGTAAAAAAGCAATAAAAAGCTAATTCAACTAGATAGGTTGTTTTATTTTAGTAAATGTGGACATATTGTTGATTTGTTCTGTAGTTTTGTAATATGTTTTAAGAATTTAATATTTTTCAAGTCGGCCAGAAAATCCAGCGCAGAAATTTAAAGAAAAAAAAAACATTAAAGAAAAGAACAAAGAAATAAATAAAACCCTCCAAAATAAAGAGGTAAATCAGTGACACCACATTTGTTTCATGTGATCATTTTGTAATGTTCTTTACGTATTTATACGTTTTTTCATGTAAAATCAGAGTGTCTCTGTGTTTCACTTTCACACCTTAGCTGCTGGACTAATTTAAACATGGGGACGGTGAAGTTAAAGCACCTTGTCGCCCAATTTAAATGACAAATACGTCCGTGTAATCTGCTTTGGCTGTTCAGCCCTGCAGCCTCGACTTTCTGACTCTCATAAAGACGGGATCTGGTTTCTGTGTTTGGCTGAACACTGGCTGGACTCTCTTAAAGGCCTCCAGCTGCACAACTGTCATGAAAAATGCAGTGCTGCAGGTCTCTGCAGTCTGAACACACAGACAACATTCAGATGATCGGTTCTCCCACCACAACACCAACGTTCTTTCAGTGTGGACATGAGGATGTGAAAATCAGTCTTTTTTTTCTAGATGTGATCATATTTGTTTTGACAAAACAAAGTGTATGTCAAGCATGTAAAGTGCATCTGTACCTGTAAAATATCCAGATATATGTAAAGTTTCCATAGGCGTAGATTTCAGGTTGGATGCAGGATAAACTTCTGCCACAATATTCAGAACGTGTGTTTATCCAGAAAGAAAGAAGCAAAGGATTGTCATATTGAAAAAAAACACTATAATGTTTACTTATTTTGCCGGCTGTTAGTGTTTTCTTTACATAAATAAAGACACTTCCATCATAAATTGATGCAGAAACTAGACAAGTTGATGCATAAAAATTCACAACAATGCAAGAAATTAAGTGTTTCATGCTACGTTTTCGTTGGTAAGGACGCCCAGGACCCTGTTTAATGTGTCCTGCTCCAATATTCAAACAAATCTATTCCAATGGAACTTTGAATTCTGTAAAAACGTATGTTATGTGTGCCGAATGTCGAGTTTAAAATCCTGAAATCAGTCTTTCCCTCAGCTTTGGCTACGTGCAGACACCAAGATAAACAGCACTTCCCCTTCAGTGAGGTCAGTAAAGAAGAATGAAAACTACAAAGTTCTGGGAGCGTTTAGGTTCATATATTTCAAGTATCATGTAGAAATGAAATCCTTTACAAAAAATGACTTTCAAGCAACTCAGTCAACACAAAACCTTTAACAAAGCAGATTTTTCTACAGTAATATTACGTGTAAACAACTATCTGAATAAAGGTTTGTTTAGGAAGCAATAACACATTGTTAAGCAGTCTCGTGTTTGTCACGCAGAAAAACATGCCTGTTTCAGTACTGCAAGTGTGTTTTGAGTAAATAGTTCACCTAATGCTGGTGTTGTCAGCTGACCCGAGTATAGAAACCGTCACCCTGAAATATTACACTTTGTTTATGCTCGTTTTAGTCTCTTTTACCATCTCTCTGTAAATCAAGTCTGTACTCAAACAGCGTAAAGTTCATGACTTTGGCGAGAAGCTCTGGAACGACAAACTCCCTTATCTTCTGGTAGCCCATGTGCTCGTACAGCTTCTGAGCGTCCGTCTGCACCACTGAGGTGTACAGGACGACGGCAGCGTAGCCCCGGTCACGCGTGAAATCAGCCACAGTTCGACACAGGACCTTGGCGATGCCCATCCCGCGGTAACTGCGACGCACCGCCATGCGCTTCAGCTCCAAGCACGCGGGCGCCTTCTCATTGGTAGTGCAAGACACGGTGCCGACCACCCGGCCGTCGATTTCCGCCACCCAGAAACACGAGTCCTTCTGCTGCAGGTAGGCCTCGCTGATGCGGTCGAGGTCCTTCCTGAGGGTTGTGTCGATGTATTTGTTGAACATGTAAACAACCACCTGCCGCATTCCGGCCAGGAGGAGGGTGATGGCCAGGATGGGGAGCAGGAAGGACTTGGAGCTGGCCATGAGGGCGCAGAAGGTGCACATGAGAAGCATCTGGGTGGGCGGCTGTTTGAGCATGTGCGTGAAGGAGGAAGGAACGTGCTCGCTCATCCCCAGCGTGAAGATCTCCTTCACGGCTTCAGCGTCGTCGTCCCGATACTTCCGGATCTGAATGTTGGTCATGGCTTCTCTCTGCTGTTCAATGAAACAGGAGGTCAGAATGTGAGAGGCAGCAAATAAAAGCACCACATAGAGCAGCAATAATCATTTTGGTCTGAGTATCAAATCAAATGTATGTATAGCACACTTAAAAACAAGCTGAGGTGACCAAAATGCTAAGGAAAAGGATAAAACTTTTAAACTCAATTTTTAAAAATATAAAACAAAATAGTTTAAAATATTAAAATGGGCAAAAGAGGATAGCAGCTTGCAAGATCAATTTCTAAATAAATAAATAAATGAGACATTAATACCACTATTACATCATTTTAAGACCTACATCACATGGTTAAGAAAAATCTCAAGATATACATGTTTTCAGTAGATTTTTGTTGCTCTTTGTGGTCTTAATGTTTGACTGTTTTACATATATTCTAATTTAGAAATCTATCTTACAAGTTGTTATCCTGTTTGTCTTGTTTTTTTAACTTATTAAATGTATTGATTTTACAAGTTTTATCCTGTTTTTCGTCTCGTTTTTGACACACTCATGTTGTCGCCTGTCTTATAACACGTAAAGCTCTTTGGTCACATAAACTTGACGAGATTTGATCCATCTGTGAAGTTTACTCACATTAGAATAATCAGTTCCATTACTGATCGGTACATCAAAAGAGATCAGATTATCATAGTGAATTAATAAAGTCTAAATATTAACCACTTGCAAGCACATTACAATCTGAGTTAGGATAAATGTAATACTTGGGGTTTTTCGTACAGTCTAATGGATAAAATCTTGGTATTGAAGAATTTACAAATACAACAATGACACATTTTTTATCAACAATTTCTTTGCATATCCCATTATTTGTATAAACTTGCTTAATTACTAAATATATGACACTAGTTTAAAACATTTCTGTGTGAATGTATCCCTGTATAATTTCACTTAATTGTCAGATGACTCAAAACTGTTTCACCTCTCAATAACTGTTATTTCTAAAATGACAAGTACTTCCTTTTATGAATAATCATAATTAAATACTTTAGAAAATGCATATTGACAATACAATCCCTACAGTAGGAGATCAATGCAACAGATCATCATACCAATGACCAGAACTGCAGCTGCCATCCTCATAATATGATATGACAGACAGTGTAGTATTTGCATCATCTGCCTTTTACAAAAAAAGAAGGCGAGCAAGTGCTTCACACCTTTTGCAAACATTAACAACAGCAAACAGAGTTTCTGTGGCGGCTCAGGCAGCGACGGTGCATTACATACACCACTGTGAATGTCATTCAAGAGAAAAAAGAAGACCTTGATTGCTCTCTGTAACTGCAAACTTGTAAAGAGCCTGAAAACAAGCCTGATAAATGCTGGGAACGCATTCTTTAATCAAGTTAAATGTGTTTGCTCAGATGGAGCCCAGCATGTTTGGCATAAACCTGAGCACGACCACCACAGTTAAAGCACAGTCCTGACAGTGAAGCCCAGAGGTGGGAGTGTGATGATCGGGGGCTGCAGGAGTGCAAAGGGCGTTGTGGAGATAACATTTAGAGAGGCCACCATGACACACAAAAACACAAAACAACCACAAACAGACATGAAGGGACACAAAATGAGTGACAAGACCGGTTTGCAGAAGCTTATTAAAAAGAATATTCCAGCATGATAAGAATCTAAAGCACACTGCCAAAATCACCCACGTGTTTCTATATATTAGAGCACCTTTAGGGTATTTACAAGAGAAAGATAATACAACAAAACCCCTGCAACAAAGAGCAGCTAAAATAATTGAAGAATGGGAGAACATCTGGTTATAAATAAAGGTGAATATAAGAAGCATTAAAGAAAAACATGAACTGAATCTCAGTTCAGACTCTTGGTGCACTGATTTCCTCCTGAGAAACCTGAAATTGTAAACTCTTAGCTGTCAGTTTTACATCTTACATAAGACACAACACCTACTGTTTGACATCAATATAATAAAACTACTGTTAGCTGGTACAGTTTTGAATCATCTGACATTTAAGTGATATTGCACAGAGGTGTACTCACTTCTGGAGTACACTGTATTTGCTGATATCAATGTATCTGCAGTGAGCTCTTATCTTGTGCTTCCTCCTAAGTGCCTGATTCAATCCGCTAATAACAACTATTCAGATCAATAATAAATCAGGCTCACTTCTGGTCACAATGACCCCCAAACCACATCAGTGCACATCACATGACTCATTTTAAGCCTATGTCACGTTAAAACAAGGTTATTTGTGCTAACATTGCTCGATATTTCATCTATGTGCGCATAAAGCAACTGAACATTTATGCGAAACACGGATTAAGACAATAAACTCCGCGCGTCCTTTAAGAGCACATTAACGACCGAGCTTCATTAGCTAACAGCAGCTAGCATCAGCGTTAGCCTCACAAAGGATTTGACCCCAGTTCGCTCCGAGTTCCTTCCAGCTGGATAAACCGAGCAAATTAACACGACTTACTTGTTTCGTGTTGGCAAAACTCTTGCGAAATGAGTCTTCAAAAAGTTTCCTGAATTGAAAATTCGCTCATTTCATTCCACTCGTGACTACTTCCGCACAGCTAAACTATGGTGCGTTCAGGGCTGCTCGGAAGACTGAGGAACCCGAAGCGCACGTATTGCAGTGTTAGTTTAATAAAAATGGGTGTAGTTTAATTTTTACTACAGCCATTTACCTTAAACATTTTAAACTCCTGTTTTTACCAAGTTAAGGACATAACAGCTGTTTTAATGTATAATTATATAACTGTTTGTTGATGATTCTAAATAATTACGGACTGTACGAAGCACATGGAACGCATCATAATCTCTTTATGCTGATTGGCTGCCTATTTCTGACCAATAAAATAGATAAACAAATTTAATTCCACCTTGGAGTCATTCAAGGTAACGTTTTAAATGATTAGTAAGCCCTTATTAAATATTTGCCGCAGTATGTCACAATAACTGAGGTGAAGTAGTGTGCAAAAGTCTAAATTTGTTGATTTAGCACAAATATAATGACCACACAGATTAATTCCTTAGCTTTTGTATAAAGATGCAGCAGAACTATACTTGAAATATGTACTCAGTATTAAAAACACACAAAAAATAATGAGTGAAAACTGTTTTCAAAGGCAAAAGTGGAAAGTATTTGGTGTGACCTCCCTCTTGCACCAGCAAGGTCACTCTCAAAGACACATCAGCAGATAAACTGGATACTCAGTTTGTGGTATTCAAGCTGTTATAAAGAAATGGGAAGATTCTGGAGGCGAGAATGACAAAAAAGGTCAAAAAAAATGTTAAAAAAAAGTCTAGTGCAGAAATTGTTGCATCTGGCAGCCTAATTTGAATGTAAGTTTGATCAATCTTCAGTATGAAGGACTAAAAGGTTAAAATAACCAAAACTTCCCAAAGAGCAAAGTGAAGCTCAGTGGAGATGAATACTGTGGCATGAATCAAAGTTTGAAATGCTCAGGTGCAAAAATCTGAATAGACTAATTTCCATAGGTTAGTGTCAGTATTTAACGTGACCTCCATTTGTCCGTCTTGAACTCTTGAGTCAACTGTCTTGAAGATTTCTTAAGTCGTCTTGTGGTATAATACGATACCAGGTTTCCTTCAGTGTTTCCTCGAGTCGTCATTGAAAAGCCCTTGAAAAGACCAAAACCAACAATAATCTGATTGTAATTACAATTCTCTGTGCAGCAGAGGACCAGATTTCTCATTAATGTGTAGAAATAGGTCCAACTTGACAAGTTAAAACATTTAAAAGGAGCTTACATGTTAATGCATCAATAATAATGCAGTAATAAAGGAGCTAATAACCATTTAAAGTATGTGTACACCTGATATTTACTAAATATTTACACTTGTTTAAGTACAATTTGAATGCAGGACTGTCATTTAAGGATTTTTCCCACAGTGATATTACAACTTTTTAGGATTTGACTACTTCTGCCACGACTACCATCTTTATATTAAACATTTTGTTATTAACATACAAAATCAAGACAGTGTTTATTCATTTAGTCAAGTGTTTAGATCATTTCTCAGTCTATTAGTTCCTTCCAGGGTAAGGCAGCAGTACCAGTTAACAACTCACACAACGATATGCATGCCACGAAAACAACATATTTGTTTTTATATTTATAGCTCATAGTAAAGTGGAAAAAACTAAATTATATTAAAAAAATAATTAAATTGAGAAAAGACATTTGGTAATTTAGCATAGGAACCTTGTTATATATTTTTTAAAAAGATCTTTGCAATATTAGGTTTTTAAAGGAATTTTGCGTGCATATGAGGAGAATTAATTTTTTTCTTTTAAGAAAATATGTACAAAGAAAAAAGTCCAAAAAATCAAAGTCACAGTACATATTGATTGACACAGATGTGTAACTGACCCTTATGTTTTTTTGTTGTTGTTTTTGTTTTTGTCTGACCATTTAAGGTGGCCAGGTACTGTAAACAATCCCTGAAGATTAAAAAATAATATAAAATTATAATTATAATGAAAAAACTCCAAGTATATAAGACAATCTGTGGTGAAAACCAAATACAGTCAGCTCCATGTCATGTGATTTTGGTAGACAGTTCCTTAAAGCTCAAGTCACTCAAACTTTTAGTGCCGTTTCAACATTAAGATGTGCAAGTCCCACTGTTTTTATAAATCCTACCAGAACTTTGACAACAACAAATTCCTGCTATACAACCTGAAAAATGTCAGAAAGGTCCAATACTTTGGCCATAAAAGGGCAAAAAAACAAAACAAAACACAGCAGCAATAAATGTAAAACATTCCACAATATATGAAGACTGAAAAAATAATTTATTGTCTCCTTAAAATACATCTGACAAGATTCCATACATGTTGATTGTGAAGATTTTTTTTCCCTTTTTGTTTTTTTTATGGAGTAAACATTCCACTAAAATCGATAGTCCAAAGGTATAAAGGCATCAATTCTCCTTTCAACATTTGGTTTTGTTTGTACAAAACATTCACTTTACATTCACTGTCCTGCCCGGCCGTGTGAGCAGAAACGGAAGCAGCTCAGGACTCTTTGTTTGTTTGATGTCTGTGTCTTTTCTACCCCAGGTTGATGTTGCCGGCGAACATGGTGATGAGCAGGATGATGGTGAAGCCGGTGAGCAGCCCGGCATTCTGGATGAGGAAGAAGACGATCTTGGAGGAAGTTCGCGTCTGGTCCCGCGCGATGCTGTCCATCTCTGGAAACTGAAAGGAGGAATCGCAATCAGACACTTTTGTCAGGCACAGTCATGACAGACAACAGGCTCCATTGTTTATCCAACAGCATAAAGGGAAGTAATTGAATAAAAGCGGGAAGTAGGCTGGCTTGTGTGGAAAACACTTAATATATTGTTCCCTTGCAATTCTACTTTCTCAGCAGCTGATAGACAAAACTGGGAGCGTTTGTGTGCAGCAAACACACAGACTGGCTTGATGGGAGTCAAAAATGTAAAGTCCTATCAAAAGGTTATTTATTTCATTGTTAAATTGCATGAAAACACCAAAACCAACAATAAACTGATGCTACTAACCGTGATTCCCTGTGCAGCTGACTCTGTTCATACTTGTGATATGTAACATTGCTGCTTTTCAATCTGTTAAAGTGACGGCTTTAAGTTTCATGTTAAAGTTCCTCAAAGCTTCTTGCA